GGTCGGCGACGCCACAAATTAGCCCACTGCAACTGGTATGTAGGCAGGTGCAATGATTAGTGCCAGTACGTTTCAGACAGCTCAAAGTGTAGAGCGGTCGGCGCTCCACTAACCATAAGGGGAATCGTGAGGCCGTTTTCCGGTGGAAACGCTCATAAACCCGTGAATTTAGAGGTTGCTGAGGAGGGAGAAAAAATTTTGCTTCTTAAGCTGGCAGATGCTGAGCTCGGAGGCCTGCATGTGAGAGGCAAGCGCTGGCCACCGGGCTCAGCATCTTCAAGTCTTCGCAAGTCACGCATTTTTGGCAGCATCTCCTCTATAACATCCTGTGGATGGATTGACAATCATTGACTAACACTCAGCGGCAGTTTGATCACTGACCCGGCCGGGAGGTTCAAAGCGTACATCTATACAGGCGTCGGAGAGCAGGACGTACGCGGGCAAATCTCTTACTCCACATGTAGCGAAGAATGTCTTAGCGACCTGTGATGGTGTGGAACCCAGACGTCCGCGATTTGTGGTCGCGCGAAACCAGTATGACCTACGCAACAAGCTGTGCCAAATAGTGAGACTTTCAGAAAAAAGACATATCCTGCAAGGATTTCGTGCCTCATGCTGAGCGAGGGGAAAGGATAGCGGTAAGGACAGAGTGAAAAAGAAACGGGTGACCGAAGCCAAGTTCCCCAGCTTGCCTCTTAAAGTCGATGAGAAAATTGAAATCGCATTTCCGCAGATACCGCCTGAATAATTGGTTCTACAAAAGCGGCGTCAGGCAGAACGGTTGCTTCATCCCTGTTTTCGAGCGCTGCAGGGGTTTGTTTTCCTGCAGCCAGGTCGGCTGCAGGAAAACAAACCCCTGCAACGCGTTGACGACAGCTCCACAACTCAGCATGGCATGCTTGAGTTGGATGTTGCTGAAGGGTGCAGTTGTGCCGGTATTTACGATGTGGCCAGTTAGGCTCACGAGGTTTCTCACGACTACGTCGCTGTCAGAAATTCCCCTGCAGCAAGCCAGCTAACGGAAGTTTGGGGCCTGAGGGATCATAGAGACCGCAGAACTTGACCCAACTCTCGCCAGTGGGGTGCATCCAACGGTACCAGAAACGCAAGCAAAAACCCAACTGTGAGACCTAGTAGGGATTTCTGTTCCCTCACACGATTGGGTGTTGTGAATCCATAACAATGGAGGTACTGCGGGTCAAGGAATCTGGTGATGTGTTGGCTGAGCTCTCAGTTCCTTACATGCTATGGCGGGATTCGTTCACGTTACTAAAGAATAATACACTTTAGTGGGATATTTTGTGCTATTTTCAATAACCATGGCATGTTCTTCTGAAAGACTTTTGGGGGGCCCATATATCGAACCCCACTGCCCACTGCTGAGTATAACGGGCCGGCGGGCATAAGCTGACTGACACCCTCAAGTAACCTCACTCATGCTACAGCTCCTCGAACATCTCATCTGATTCAAAAGAACAAAGCTAGCAGAGTTTAATGAAGGTTTTTCCTCTTGTTTTAATTTGCTAAAGTTGTTCTGTTCTGATCCCCACTACACCCGGCACTGCGTCCTTAGCGGCTTAGAGAGGAGAGACGGGCTGGCATGCTGCAACACCTTTTGCAGCAAATCCCATGCCAACCTCTCCAATAGTCATGACAACACACCTCCTTGTAAAGATAGGCATCAGTATGCGCTCACACGCATTTCTATTGCTCAATCAACCCTCACTCTTGCACAACGAGCACGGCAAAGTTGCCTTGATTGTAGTGAATATTCACTAGACTCTTTGAAGGGCCAACCTGAGTCATGGTGTAGATCCTGATGAGGAGATGAAGAGGAACGGATGCTCACCTTGAGTAGTGAACAAATTCAACGCAATATATGTACGATTCCATTCTGTAGTGAGATCGCTTCCGCTTGCGGAGACTGTAAACTTGGATGTCGATATAATCACCACAACACTAGGGAGAAGCTCTTAGGTGCGGTCACCAGTTCATCCACCCAAAATAGGTAGGCAACGAGTTGTCCAACTGCCCGTGACTGGTGCGCAGAGGAGACAGCTTGTCCTGGGTTGCCACGCCCCTTCTGCTAACAAAGGCTACAAGGGAACCGAGATGTAGTCACAGCCACTTACACTGTAGAGAGGTGCGAAATCCCTGCTTTACAGGCACTGTCCCGTCTACTTCAAACTCATAGGTGTACGAGCTACAGTTGTCTATTTTCGTAGTTGGTGGCCTGCCGCCTACCTTTTTGTATGAATTTATGGATACGCAATGGATTGCCCTTCCTACAATTCGTGCAATATACTGGCGCATTGGCGCATTGGCGCATTGGTTGCTGTGTACCTGAACCGTTCTCCCTCTGCTGAAAAATTTTCCTTGGCTTGCCTTCCTATTGTTCACTAACGTCAGTTTGCTGTGTTTAACTAAATGGGTGCCTATAGCTGTAGGCATCCCGAGAGTCCCTGGTGAAAGCCGTCGAATGCTAGTATCTATGGACTTGGGGGGCGCCTTCTTCGACAGCTTCATTCGAGGCTTTCCACCCGGGATACCTTTTATGGTTACAGCGGGGTTATAGGCTCCAAAATTTACGAATTATCGAGTAATCGAAAGTGCGAACTTTATTTACAAGAGTGTTAAGCCATGTACTGAATCGCCTTGCCTACGGCAGCGTTGAAGTAAGCATTAACAAGATTCAGGCGTGAAAGCCTGTTCGTATCAGTCTAGTTGACTGAACGCCGATTACCCCGATGGGGTGAAAATTTGCGAATGCTAATTTTTGTTGACTGCAGGCGGACCTTCCTTCACACTTTCAGCTGGAGATACTAGCCGGGCGGAATGAGCCAAAAATCTACAGCACGATATCTCCTAAGAGCAGCCGAAGAGGTCCGCTTGTGTTGTTCACTGCTGTGCCACCTCAGCTTCCGGTCAGTTCAAGAATACCTGTGAAGACGGCGAATGTTCCAGTCTCCCCGATTTCTACATGCTTGTTCAGGTTCTATCAGTGGTGAGACACCAAGCCTAGATGCCCATCTGATATTCTGGGTAGGTTTATCACCGCGTCATCTAGTGGTTCTGTGTATGTCAAGCTGACAAGCCTTCAAGCTGTGCGGAACTCTACTATATATAAGCTCTTTTTTTGCTCCTGAGAAGACTCTTTTCTACGCCAGATATCCTATTCAGGTTTTCCACTTCTCGTCTCGCGCGAGAGTGCCTCAACATAATAGGCCGTAGTGCCGTCTACTGGAAGGTAAAAAGGCTAAGTTGAGTAGACCCTGCCTGTAGCGAGAGTCTTCGCTCGTAGCTGACGAGCGCAATGACCGGCAATTCAGCGAAATGCTTATACTAAAAGTTCCCCCAAAACAGTTATCCTCTACAGAATTATTAAAGCAGTGCTAGACCTAGTTAGTGCGGCTCACGTCCCTGGAACTGCTGCAGGCAGGAGGGGACTTGTCGTGAAATGCCGTGCAGCGGGGGCGCCTGCTGCAAGGCAACGTCATATGCAAACACTGCCAAAAGCCCTTTACAATTTCTTGTAGTGTTGCTGCGTACAGCGACACTACAGGAAATTGTTAAACAATTGCATTATCCAGCAAACACCAAACTACAAATGCGAGTAACGACTTCACACACAGCATACTACACAGTCACCACAAGGTTAATGATAGCACAGTGAATGGATCTCATACACTGGGCAGAATCTGTCAGTCATATCGGCCTGCAGTGGGCTGACTCAAGCCCACCGCGTATCTCCATATTTTGCTGCGCAGTTCAGTTGGTGGTTTCACTGTGTTTTGTGAAGCTTCCTCGGGCTTTTGGAGAGATCCCCCTAGGCGAGCAAGTAGTGTTTTGCGTCCGGTAAGCTTGGGATTGGCATTCAACGTCCAGAATGCATCATCTAAAACACAAAATAATTAGGGGGAGGTATAAACGGGTTTAACGAGGTAGCGTTAAAATGTCAACGGACGCCTGCTGTATACTGAAATGATAGCCTTCTTCGGGGCTGGATCTATCTAGTATGCCGAAAACAATTGGCTAAATGGCAGTTATCATTTTTATTAGTGTTCATTCTTCCAGGCATTATTTCTACATTGGATTTTTCCTGTGCATTTGCTTCAGAGATATTTGTAGTTAGATAGAGAATCCATCTAAAGCAGTCTCTGGTCTGGTTTGTTGTAGCAGCTGTAGAGTTTCGTCGGAGACAAAACCTGTTTCCGCTCAGGTCCCGACATTTTAACTAAGCTCCGAAGAATAAAATTCATCATCAGATAGAAGGTTTCTCACGCTGAAGGTTTCAAGAGTCTCAACTGCATATTACCCTTCACCACTTATTGCTACGTTGTTAGCCAACCGGCGTGGACGGCCGGAGTTATCTGAATCGCCAGCGATTCATTCGGAGGCGGACAATATGGTTCCCATAATTTATTAAGAGACTATTCTTCTTCCCGTTCGCATCCGCTCTACACACATCAATATCTTTGTGGGAGTTCACAGCAGATTACCCAATGTAACCAGTCAGTTTAAAAGGCCTCGATGAATCGAATGGTTTCCTTTATTCTTTTGGAATTACCTATATCGCTACGCGGCAGCTCTCCTCAGGCCCCATACGGGCGTCCCCCTTATTGCTCCTGAGGCTGCAGCGCCAGTTGCACCTTGTCCCCTGAACATCTCATGATCAACAAAAGTTAAGACGGCCGGTTTTCTGTAGGTGTAATTCGCCGTCTGACATCCAAAATTAGTTTTGTTCATGTGATAGTGCCTCGTTGTCAAAAGCTAAAATGAGCGTTCTGGGGCACACTGTCAGCTAGCAACAGGAATACACTTGAATATATCCGTGGCAGACTTCAGGTCTTTGTTAGACAACAGGGATAGAGCTCGGCAGGGACAGGAGTAGAGACACGTTGCGAATGCCATTTGTCTTGCAATACAGTCTCTTTGTTTTGATAGCTTCTTAGGGGCTTGACGTTTCGTCAACGCTTCCCTGAGCCTTAGAAATCCACAAAATGGAGCACCATCCTTGTTCTGGGAAGGGCGACGATATTCAGCCTCTAGCCATTCCAAAGGAGACCGCGTCTCAACTGTGCAAACGCATAGAGAACAACCAGGATACTGAGGGGAAGTGCGAGCTGGTGGGATACGGCAGAATTGTTTCTGGAGACGATGAGCCATTTTATGGGCCATTCCGCCTTAAGGACGGCCTTTTCTTTTCCTTGTGTTCGGTCGTTGTTGACAAAGAATTCTTAAAAGCAAACAAAGTCTCTCACATTATAGCTATCGACGAAGACCCTCAACAACGCTTTGAAGAGTCCCAAGCGAGTTTGACGTCGGAAGAGCAGTCGCAAATGGCCATACCGCGCAGCCTCACGCTTCACTGGCATCGGAGAGAAGAGCCAGATGATCCTGTACGATACTTCTGTACCTTTTGCTTTGTTTTAGTAATCTGTAGGGTCTCCACCTACCGTACAGTTCGTTTCAGCTCCCCTCAAGTGCATATTCACGACTCTGATGCGCGTCCGCGCTCTTTCTTCGCCTCACGTGTGTTGCTTACACAGGTGATCCTTAAGGAGAAGATGAATGACCTAGCAAGAGTCGTTGCGTTCATTGACGAAGCAGTAGAGCAGGGAGGCAGCTGCTTGCTTCACTCCTCCAATGACCTTACCACAGCAGCTGCAGCTGCAACGGTATATTTCGTTGTAAAGTAAGCCAAACATCTCAGGCTGATGCAGCACTCTGTCATCTTCATTGCTGCAGCCCCTCGCGTGAAAAATTCCCTTGTCTTGTCGGTCTTACGGTTATTGCCCGTCGGTAATAAATGGCACGACAATGCTGCCGATGCCCTTTCTCTTCTACAACCGCATTCGGAGCTTCACCATTCCAACCTTTTCACCCGTCTAAACCATACACAATGTTTCTGTATCACTCAGTCCCTTCTAGATCAATGTTATGGTATATAGCTCAGTATACGCACCACAGAATGTATGCAGGTATGGTTGGAGCTCTGGTCGTTGCATCAAATTCTTATCAAGCAGAAGACCGCCGTTCCACTTACGGCCAGTTGCACTGGCTCTGCTGAAATCGGCAGACTTGCAGCGTTTTGTGTTGCAGTCGCTAGCTGGAAGTGAGCGACGAAGGCCTACTCCTTGAGCCAACTGTTGCTTGTAAAAGCCTACTGACCCTAATCGGCAAAGCATTTATACCAATACGGAGCTCAGAATCCCTTCGAAAGCTGAATAATTCCTACGTAGGAGTTATTCAGGCTTCCAACCAGCACGCACACCGAAGGTTCTATATGCAAAGCACTTTTCATGCTGGCTGCTTTAGCATGCTCTCCAGGGGATTTGGCCGGGCATAACGCCGATATCGCAGACTATCGCAGCCAAGAATTGGCCGCCAACTCGGGAAAGCATTGGACACTGCCAAAAATCATGAATGTGACGGTTTTTGCAGCAACCCCAGCAACGGAGGCAGAGTGTCTACTCCTTCACAACACTATTGCTAACGGCAGCCTGCCGATCACGGGACCGCCGACGACCCATACAGGTGCTTTGCAGTGACCTAGAATGCCAGCCGCCCCAGGCAATGCCTTCTGCTTCTGCGTGGATTGCTAAGTCTAGAGGGTCTTTTCCTAAGCAACGATTCATAATCGTTCGTTAGTATGCTGCTACATGTTATGGCTAGTGCGAAGGGCAAGACGCGCACAACGGGCGCTGCAGTGGTTTGACTTAGTAGATGTAAACGCGCATCGTCGACAGCAGAATGAGAGTTCGTGCTCATCTCTACGCAAGAATCACAAGCAAAACGATGCACTTCCGCCAACTGAAGCTCTCCGACAATGTCGCCTGGTTCCTAAATCGATTCTGAAGAAAAACCAACCGTCACTAGTGGCGACAAATGCACCAGTATGCTCATTGCACATGTTGCGGAGCAACAGGCAGAGTGCAACGCAAGGAAAAATAGAAGGGAGTGACCGCGTAAAGAGGGATTCCCTGGAGTGTTGACCAACCGGTAGTCTCCAGTGTAAACGAACGATACTAGGAATCAGATACATGACCAGTGCCTTCCCTTCGTGACAGCCTTCTGGCTTCCCCGTAAGTAGGAACAGCCAAAATTGTACACAATACGAAGCACTAATCTACCAGTTCTTTGAAATTTGTTGCTTTACGAGTGGAACATTCTCTGTGAAATTTTAGGTGGCGACGGAGAGAAAATTGACCCACAAGCAGTCTGACTCGAGAATCTGCTCTGTCACAAGAGGCGCTACTGTAGTATCAACTCGAAAACACACCGTCGGAAGACTTCTTGGAAAGTGTACAAGCAAAGCTGCCTGTGAACCCGAAGCATGTACAGAGAAAAACCCCGAAAAGCACAGCCCTGCCTGGGATATGCAATACTCTGGAAACGCTGCGCCGAAGACCTCGGAGTATCACAGTCTCTCTCGACAGAGTAGTACGTTCCTTTGAACTAGCAAGGCGAATTCACCTACGGGAAGTGTGTTCCCGCGGATGATTCTGAAAGGCTACCCCACAATAGGTTGCTCGAAATTTTGCAAGTGTGCAGATAATGCCTTCAGGCAAATTCGCGCCGAGCGGAGTTGCTTGAAAGCATTTTCTGCAGAGCCGAGCACTGTGGAATTGCTAACCCTGTTGTTCATGGTGTGCCACTCTGCTTCATTGTGTGCATAGCTGCGAGCAGTGGCGGGTTATCAAGGGCTGGCTCTTTAATGGTTGACGAAGCACCAGCAGTGTACGCTGCTTGGAAGACCCTAATAACTCCGACAGAAGTCTCAACTACTGAGATCTCTAAGTGCAGACTGCTACACGGAGCAAAGGCACTTAAGCACGGATGTCGGAGTTGTTCAGTGAAGGCAATCAATAACCCTACAGGCCAAGACACGTTTTGCTGAGACGCATAACAATGCGCTCTGCGGCACCAGTATACAGAAATCTGGCCCTTGCATATCGTCTTGCCCACTGCTGTCGCCCTAATTAGGCGTCCCATTGTTTGGAATGTGCCTTTTTCAGGAGCGTTTCGGCTAAAACTCGTGAACCTGCAATGCATTTGCATGTCAAGCGCTTGGGGCAAATATAAAATTGTTCTCGTATTGTTGAGTTTCACAGGACAAACCATAATGCATGCAACGCCGAGTAGCGACAAGTGCCCTGCTGTGTAGGGATGGCTACAGAGCGACAAGTGAGGCCAGGAGAGTAATTCTTCTGATTGTGAGGCTTCCCTTTTCTGTGCAATGCGCTTTTGCCCTGAGGAGAAGCACCTGCAGCAAACCTTCAAATTCAATTTGTATAGGGGAGTCCCTGAACAATTCAAAGATTTTCCGGTTGCCCCTTTGCAAAGGATACAGCAAAAAGCACTGAGTGTGGTATATATGTTGCATTTATGCGATACGAGGTTAAGGAAGCCGGTGATGCTGGCACACGTTAATGAGTGTTGAGTGTTGTGACGCCAATGTGACGACAATCTGTCGTCTACTCAGGTTCCAAACGAGTTTAAGCGTCGAACACCAGAAGCAATCCTGTTCTTGCAC